CGCCCACGGCCCGGGCCACGGCGGCTCCGGCAGCGAACGTGTTCCCGCTGGGGTGAGCGGCGGGAGTGGGGGGCAGGTCGGGCGGTCCCGGGTGGGGGTGGGCCCTGCCGAGCCCGCTGGGGAGCAGGCGTGGGTGATGTCCTCCCGGTCGCTTTGGAACGCTTTGCGAGTGTTTCTCGAGGGAGCAAACCTGTGGCTCCTGAGCCTTGGAGTTCCCGCTGCACTACAGCACGTTCGAAACGTGTTCAGTGGGCACCTTGTCAGCGCTGCCTTTTTCCGACGGGTGTTAAGACTAAGCTGTTCCACCCTTAGCCCGCTGGGGAGCAGGCGTGGGTGATGTCCTCCCGGTCGCTTTGGAACGCTTTGCGAGTGTTTCTCGAGGGAGCAAACCTGTGGCTCCTGAGCCTTGGAGTTCCCGCTGCACTACAGCACGTTCGAAACGTGTTCAGTGGGCACCTTGTCAGCGCTGCCTTTTTCCGACGGGTGTTAAGACTAAGCTGTTCCACCCTTGGTTGTGAACTGGGGATACCGTTGGGAGCAGGGGCAGGGAGCTTGCATGGGGCCTAGCATAAAAGTTAGTTGAAAAAAATAGTGTGATGTAGAGGGGAGTGAACAGGGTGCTGAGGAGCTGGGAGAATAATCAAGCTCGCTTACACTGCCGTGGTAATTAAGGGGGAGTCAGTATAAAAAGGGTTAAAGGGTTGCAGATGACAGGAGCTGTGATACAGTCTGCGAAAACTGAAGAAATAACCCGATCAAGTGCACATCTTTTTGCAATGTGGTTTGTGCTGCAGTAAATGGTCTGTAAGAAAGCCGAGTGAGTAGTTGTCTGGAAGTGTGTCTCAGATTGGCTTCTTCTCTTTTCTTCTCTAGAGCAAATGCACCAAAATTAAACTTTGGTGGCAGCAGTGCAACTCAGGCTACTGGAGTCACAGGGGGCTTTGGGTTTGGTAGCTCCGCACCAACCAGCGTGCCCTCAAGTCAAGCAGCAGCCCCTTCTGGCTTTCTGTTTGGATCTGCTGGCACCAGCACCACCACTGCCGCCGCCCAGCCTGGGACAACTGGAGGGTTTACTTTTTCCAGTGGTACCACGACTCAGGCCGGAACAGCCACCTCCACCACTGGCACTGCAGCTCTGCAACCAGCAGCCACGGGCTTGACCTTTGGAACGGCATCTGCAGCTGCTGCCACCCCCGCTGCTGCCACCTTAGGAGCAGCAACGCAGTCAACAACCCCCTTCAGCCTTGGGGGGCAGCCCGCAGGTGAGTGCCTGAGATGGCAGCTGTAGCCAGGAAGCCAGTCCACAGGGAGGGCAACTGGGGATGGTTGGGAAGTTTCCTGGATAAAGCAGAGAATTTGTTACTTTGAATATTAATGTTCTTTTCTTCTGCAACTGGGGCTTTGAACTTGAACAGTGTTGTGAGCAGTTTCTCTCTGATGAAAGGTTCATCTGTTCTTTTTACTTATGCTGCTTGTTCCAGGTCTAAACTTTGGGTCATTGACTTCAACAGCAGCCACCAGTGCACCTGTGGCAACGCTGACCACAAGTAGCAGCCAGAAACCTACTCCGTCCTTTGGAACCAAACCTGGAGGTAGGAGGTGATTTTAGGAAACTGGACATTACTCCAGACGGTGTGAGTCTGCTGTGCTTCTGGGAATAGTTTTCTAAACTGGAGTCTGGAAAGGGTCTAGAAGCCTTTGTTACTGTGAATTTGCCATGGCATCATTAATCTGTGACAGTTAATATAGCCATTGAACTTAGTATCCTGGGGTTTTTTATTATGTGCCATGTGCTGAATTCTGTTCTGTACTTGTTGCTGGAGTGTAGTGTAAGGGAGCCACAGGTTCAAAGGCTACATTGGAAAAGGGATAGAGTTGAGGTAGAGTACAGGGAAAATAATTTAAAATTCTAACATCCATAACAAAACTGGTGTAGGTGGGCCAATTTGTATTGCGTTCTCAGCATGATTGTACAAGATGAATATTTTTTTGTTTGTAGTAACATCCACAGCTGCTACAACTGCCGCTACCACCACAGCCTCCATTCTTGGTTCGACGGGGCCTACGTTGTTTGCATCTATAGCGAGTTCTTCAGCACCGACGTCGTCTACCACCACGGGCCTCTCGCGTAAGTCAGAATATACGGGTTTTCTCTGTTGGGGGAATAAATGAGCAGCGTGATTGGTGCTGCAGATGCTGAGGTAGTAGGGGAGAATTCAAAAGGCCATCTCTTCTCGCTGTTTGCCACCCTTCCCTCTTTGTGATTTCTGGCAAACTGTCTTCAGTGGTGAGGCACGGAGGGTTTTGTTCAAAGCAAAGGACACTTTAGACTCAGAGTGGGCAAGCAGCCCAGGGCAATTTTAGCTGTATGTGAATTTTTGGTTTCTGTGTCTGGGTAGTATTGCCAGAACTGATCTTTCTAGTGATGTTTAATCTGCTGTCCTCCAGATGCCAGTGCCTTGAGTCCATTTACATCTGGCTTTGAGTCTTGCATTAGGTGTTCATGGTTTTTTAAGAACAGTGGCCTGTGACAGTGGAGATGCAGGTTGCTAAAAACAAGTCTTCATACAGCTCTAGGCCTGCAAGTTCCTCTGGTGATAACTGGCAAGTTTCCTTTGCGAAATTATTTTTATGGCAGGAAATAGCGTCTGTTTTCTGATAGCTTTGAGGCAGTGGCCCAGGTTTGAAGACAGTCCTACCAGTTTCTTTCTCAACCTGCAATGAGATGTTAATGCTTCAGTTTCCTTTCATTATGGAGACTAGCTACAGTAAATGTCAATATTTATCAGACTTAATACCAGTGTTCCACACATAATGCTGTCTTACTCCTACCTCTGAAAACCTTACCAGCTGCTTCCAAGGACCATCACAAATTTTATGTTAAAGCCACACCAATTACTTTTAAGTAATCAGCTGCAATTTGTAGATTCCAGAGATACCAGTCTAACAACTTGTGTTTTTAGTAGCTCTGCAATGCTTGCATTGCCACTCTAGTTCCAAAACTGACTCTAATCTTAGTGTTTAAGGATGCTTTTAAGCCAATGGGCATTCTCTGTTTATCTGGGTGTCTGAAACCTTGTTCTTTGATAAAAGGTGGGCTTTTTGCAGGCAACTGAGGTGTGACCAGCGTGTTTCCTGTAGTATGTGCAATTGTATCGCTTTAGGAAGGAGGCTCATGCAGAGCTTTTTAAAAGAGGCACTGTATTTAATGGGTTATGCAAACTTAATGTTGTCTTCTGTTTACAGTTGGTGCCCCTTCCACTGGGACAGCCAGTCTTGGAACGCTTGGGTTTGGATTAAAAGCTCCTGCAACAACAGCTGCCACAACAAGCACTGCCACTGGTAAGAACTTGATGCTGGAAATAGCTGAAGAGAAGGAAGCCTGACTTCAGTGCTCTGTAGTAGTGTAAAGGGTCACGCTGGTGTAGCAGCACAGCAGTTCTGATTTCTTTCAGGCACTACTTCTGCTTCTGGCTTTGCTTTGAATCTTAAGCCATTAACTACGACTGGTGCCATTGGAGCTGGGACTTCTACTGCTGCCATAACCACCAACACAACAACCTTTGTTACAACTGACTGTTTCCCGACTGGGGCAGGAGGAAATATTAATGCTGGTATCTGCTGGAGGAAGGGAGCATGAGTGTTGTCATGTTTATAATTTGGTTTTTGATCTCATGTTCTGTACTGTCTTGCCCTTCCTCTCAGCGCACCTCCAGTGATGACTTATGCCCAGCTGGAGAGTTTGATAAACAAGTGGAGTCTGGAACTGGAAGACCAAGAGAAGCACTTTCTCCATCAAGCAACTCAAGTTAACGCCTGGGATCAGACGCTGATAGAAAATGGGGAGAAGGTAAGGTGACATCGAGTGTAACCTGATTGTGCTTGCTTAGATCCTAAAAGGCCTTAAGTGTTACAGATGCAGCAAGTCCTGTAGTGGGCCTTCCTGCTTGTATAAAAAAAAATAGTTGTGAATTACCTGTGGGTGCTTGTGAAAGACTCGCTGTATGTCTGTTCTGGTCTGTAGGCTTTGAAGCTTGGCAATCTGTTCTGTGAGTTTACACTGTGATAATAAGTTATCTCAGGGTGGAGCTGTCAAATCCAACCCTCCCTTCTTCAGGTTTTGGTCTGTGAATCTTTATGTAACTGTTTCTTGTAGAAACAGGAGACGATTTTATGTTGGTGGCTTTCTCAGTTCCACCACTCCTGTTTTTTGAGTTGACTTCTGAATTTTCCTAGTTTAATTGAGTGTGTTCTATTTCCAGATTACTTCCTTACACAGAGAAGTAGAGAAGGTGAAGCTTGATCAGAAGAGGTACGAAACTATGAACGCTAGAGATGATTTTGTTTCTTTTTTGCGTCTTCTTCCTGTGTTGTGGCATGGCAGATCTAGAATGTCTGTAACCTCCAAGTGGAGTACTTAACGCTTTGTCTTTTCAGACTGGATCAGGAACTGGACTTCATTCTGTCACAGCAGAAAGAGCTTGAAGACTTGTTGACCCCTCTGGAGGAATCTGTGAAGGAACAGAGCGGGACTATCTACCTGCAGCATGCAGATGAAGAACGGGAGAGGACGTAAGACACAAACCTGCTTGGAACGTGTGCTGAGGAGGCTAATGTGGTGGTGGTCAATGAGCAAGAAGGAGAGTTGAGATGCATTGGCGGCCTTTGTCAAATATGTAATCCTGTTTGATGCATGGCAACGTAGATTTTATGCATTAGAAACGGGGGGTTTGCGACTGGAAGCCCTTGCGTCAGCGTGAAAAGCTCTTTGGGTGTTGGTCTAATCAGCTGTCTGGGAAAGGTTACTAATTTTGGCTTAATCTCTGAAAAATTAGTGATTATTTAGTGAGGGAAGTGATGAGAGCAGAATGCAGCATGTGTGGCTCAAGCATCCTTGTAAGGCTTAAGTGTTGAACCGTAGCAGGGTAATGCAAAGAAGCGTTTGTCTGGTTGAAGAGAGATGAGTTGTGAAGAATCTGGAGGAGCTGGTTTATTCTGTTCTGGCAAAGCCTTCCAGAAAGTCCTCTACACTATAGCTTGAGAGAAGGAGGTTAGGAGTTACTTCATCGGTGTGACAGGATGCCTCTCATGGTGCTGTTCCCATGTGTCTGCCAGCCTCGGTTGAAAGGTGTGGAAGCTAATTCTGATGGCCCAAAGTTGGTGTGACTGGGAGCAGGTCTTCTGGAGTTCACTTTAAATATTCTGACCTTGGTTTCCATGTGTTTTGCAGTTATAAACTGGCTGAAAACATAGATGCTCAGTTGAAGCGTATGGCACAAGATCTGAAGGACATTACTGAACACCTGAATACATCAAGAGGCCCAGCAGACACCAGTGACCCGGTAAATCCAAGCTTTCATTTTTTGTATGTTGTTAAGAGACAAAGGATATTTAAACAGTTCTAATTCTTTGATTATCCACTTGTGGATATTCTGCAGCTTGTAGTTTCAAGCTTGGAAGGGTATTTTGTTTTGTTCTTGTGTCAGTTACCTTCTGATCAAACTTGCATCATAACATGGCACAAGCCAGTCTGACTGACATACTTACTCTGAAGTTCTGTTAATAGTTTTCGAAGTATCTCATTCTGTTGTGAACTCTGATTATTTGCTTGTTGTCTAATTTTTGCCTGGATTTCAACTGTTTTCAGAGGTATTTGTTAACATTGATCTGGCTACCTGCGAGCAAATGTACATTTTTGTTGAGAATACTGGTAGTTTTTCCTTATACTGCTTTTGTGTCCTATGTGTCCTTTTGTGTCCCGATGTCTGAATTACCAGCTCTTTCTGATAAGTGTTAAATGGATCTTGGTACTCCTTTTGGCTTTACAGAGAAGCTTTTTTTTTTTTTAGTAAAAATTTCCCTTCAGTATTGCAGACTGAGTCTTTTTCCCATTCCTTTTTACTTTTGTCACCTCAAGCCTAAGGTGATTAATGTGGTGGTGGTTCCTAGGTCTGAATTGGAAGAAGCCTAAGCCACAGACATACGCTTGAAACCCGTCTGTTTTCTTGATGGTAAACAGAAGCCAAGCAACACAGTTGCTGCACAGACTTTGCCGGGAAAGTGGCTGCTAAGTGAGTGGAGCTGTACACCGTGGGAATTTGATTGCTTTGTGTTCCAAAGACAGGGACAGGCAGGCTGTGTTTTACTGTTGTTAGTTTTCATGTAGTGTAAGAAATGACTTGCCCCTTCTTTCTCCTTAGCTTCAGCAGATCTGTAAAATTTTGAATGCGCACATGGACTCATTGCAGTGGATTGACCAGAACTCAGGTGAGAGTCGTCTTGCAGCTTCTTGGGAATGTAAATAGAAAGCATGTAGCATGTGTGCAAGTGTTTCTTGAACATCAATGAATTCCTAAAGATTCCTGAGGAATCTTCCCCACCTCACCTTCAATGACACCGTCCATTCTGTGCTCGAACTCTCCCGATGCGCATTAAAGATCTCTGCTGAGTAGTGATTCCTAGCAACTGCTAAGGTTTTACAAAAAGCACTGCTTGAAATGCATCAGTGCAAAGCAGAGAACTTAAAATCTTGTGCTTTGTTCTGTCTAACTGACGTTAAATATTTCAGCTTCTAAAATGTTCTAGGGTTTCCCTTTGGAATAGGAAAATTGGTGAGGAGGGCTCTGTCTGTAGTATTTTTATCACCTCATCCTTCCCCCCCCAGCTGCCAAGGGGAAAACCAAATCCAGGAAAGACGGAGCAGCATGCATTTATCTGCAGGTGCAGTAACTGTGGAGTGTGGAAATTTCAGAGTAGCAATAACTTAAAGTGTAGTTCAGGGCAGGGGATGCACTCAATAGTGGAAAAGTGATAGTATAGTTAGTGTTGTTTCTTGTCTTGGATTCGCCCTTAACTAGTATAGCACTATGGTGCCATACTAAAAACAAAACAGGAACTTTTCTGACAGGGAGTGCCTCCTTGTGAGGGATTCTAGAATTCTGCCCGGGTTTGATTTCAGGTGATGATAGCAGCCACACGGGGGCATGGCAGAATAAAGCAGCGCTCCTCTCACCAGCACCGAACTACCCTGTCTGGCTGCAGTGCTGTAAAAGTGTTCACAGCTGGGCTACTTCTTGGGTGAAAGCAGGCATGCCACTATCCATGTTTAAATAGTGTCTTGGCTTAGATCAGAGTTTAATTTGGCTTTTTCCTCCAGAACATATGTGCTAACTTGGGCATTCCAAACATGCCTTTCTTGGGAAATCTGGTGCAGCTCCTGTGGCATCAGAATTTTGACTTTACAGAATGTGTGTAAAGATAGTAACCTGCTTCCCTTAAATTTTACTAGAAAGAAGCCCTCTTCTTTCCTCTGCCATTCAGTACGGAAGAAATTGTCTTATTGTGTGCACTTAAGTTGTGTGCTGGAAAAATTGTGCAATTTTGAAGTAAGCCTTTGTGCAGCCCTTGCCATTAGTAAATGGAATAGGCCCGGGAAAGACACATTGCTTAGCATTCTTTTTGTATGAAAAAAATCCCAAACTCCCACAAACCGGAACTAGGACATTTGTGCTGTAGGTGGTGTTATCAATTTTGTTTCCTGTGGAACACCTCCGGGACTGTTTCACAACAGCCCGTGATCTTTTCTAGGCATACTCAGACACAGTGGCTATAACTTGTCTGACTTGTTAAACAGTTATATGCAACTGTGGCACTCGATTCAAATCACTGTTAACCTACACTACCACAATTAAATGGACTTGCTGAACATGGACACAGGGTGGTGCTGCTTCCACAAGTGAAAAGGGCGTTTGGACAAAGCCTTGTTGTGACCTTCTGCTTGGTCCTTAGAGGACCAGAAAGTCTTCTCTTTCGTAGCTACAACTAAATTCCGAGTTAAGTGAGAGAGATCTGTGAGACAGGGAAGCAGACTGCCATTTTATGCCATAGTCATTTTTGTGTGGTGAATTTTTGAAGAGTGACAAACTGAAATGTGTTACTTAATAAGTTACTGGAAGATTCTGGGTTTGGTGTACTGTACAAAATAAAACCTAACCTGGAATAGCCATCTCCAAGCCACAGGGTGACATAACGCTGTAGCCCTGTTGAAAAGCTGCTGATAAGCTTTTATGGAATGAAATTAGAAATTGCTTTAACTTGTGCCAAGATTTTTTTATATATATTGTGCTGCTTGTTGCATTCAAAATTGGTGATCACCATTGGTGGCTTATGTATTTCCAAACCGGTGATCTGCAAATAACAGATGATCTGTGTTGTGGCTGCAAGTGCTCTGCCGCTCTTCTGTGCGATTGCACTGTCTTTTCTCTATGTAGAGTTAAAAGCTTGGTATGACTGTGTAATATCCTGCAAGAAAATATGTATATACTTTTAGCAGATAGCGTGGTTGGACTGTAACTTGCATAATTCAAAGTGAGTTTACCAGGAGGTGGGTTGGGGAAACTGGTTCATAGAGCAATTGCTTTTGCTCAAGCTGCAGGTGAGCTTGCAGTTCCTGTTCAGGGAGAGTTTGCTCTGCTCTCTGATGCAGTGCCCTGAAACCACAACAAACTGGGATGGCGAAAAGTGTCAACGACATTGCAACTCTTACGATTCTGCCTGCCAGTCCCTAAATGCCTCAGAATACTTTTTAGACAATCTTCTTTGCCTTGGAGGGTTAGCAGTGCTTTGTGTTGGGTTTTCCTCCGCCTTTGTGCAGTGTGAAATCTCAATGACTGTCAAAACATTTTTCTTTCTCCTTCTGCAGGCTAATCTGTGCAGGGTTGTGTTTTAGGGTGATTGTAAGCCTAATGACTTGTTTCTTCCACAGCCGTGTTGCAGAGAAAGGTAGAAGAGGTGACAAAGGTTTGCGAGAGCCGCCGCAAGGAGCAAGAGCGCAGTTATCGGATTGCGTTTGACTGAAAGACTCCAAGTTTAAAGGAGTAACCTAAAATCTCCACAGAGAACAAGAGGTTGTTGGGGACCTAGGTGTCCAATTACCACCTGGGTTTGTTTCATTCTTGCAATAAATTGTTGTTGCCAGTCTTTCATCGAATCATAGAATGGTTGGAGTTGGAAGGGACCTTAAAGACCATCTAGTTCGACCCGCCCTGCCATGGGCAGCATCTGACTGGAATTCACCCGCTCCACTTGGAGAGACTGCATGAAGTCTGTGCTGAAAGTATGTGGTTTTTGTCTCTGTTCTTCATAACTGCATGCAGGCTGGTGAAATACACCAATGCTGCCCGTGAGGGATTTAAACAGCGTGTGACTCCACGGCTGAGCTCCACTCTGTTATGTAACTTTGTTATGTTCAGTTGGGACATGTAACTTCGTTATGTTCAGTTGGGACTTCGTAAGCTTTTCTTCAGGTCCTTGCAAGAACAGTTTAAGGAAGAGCCTCAGAAGGCGCTGCAGCAGTCTGAGAGACTTGGATTCCTCTTGTCACTGGCTGGAGTTTGTGTTTAAATTTGGTATGCTTCCACTTGTGATAGTGGGCCTTGTTTTCTGTACTTTTGGGCAATAAACGGCTTTTGTGTAGGTACATGTAAGCAGAATTTCTACCCAATTAAAAATTATTGGATGTGCTTGTAGAAAAATTATACTTGTGATTTGGGGTAGCGTAGCTTGTTGAGTCACAAGGGTGAAGGGAAGAACGTGGTCAGCCATTCTGCTGCAAAGACTTTTTTAAGGGACAGAGTCTTCTGTCACTGCTTTTTGATAAGGAGTGATTACAATGCACCTTCCACTGTCTCTTTACGAACAGAGGGAAGTGAATGATGACACATTTAGCAGAACTGCCCTAATGCTCAGTTCTGCTTTGCACTTCAGACTTCTATTCTGCAAAATGAAGAAGGGGCGCAAATAATGCGTAATGAGCTTTACTTTATATTTACTTTCCTCTCCCTGCACCCCATCTGCTTTTTCTTAACTATTGTCCCCTGGAAAAAAGGGAAGGGCCTGCTCCCTCAAGTAATTGACTGGCTTAGCATGAGTTTAAACTTGTGAGTTGCTTTTCCACTTTTTCCTGTGTGCAGATTACATAGTCTTTAAGGCAGAGGGAGGGGAGTCTCACAGATGCTGTAGGTGAGGCAGATGTTGACCGCGGGACGCCCCTGCAGAGGGCTCCAGACACTTCACTACGGGTCTCCGTTTGTGAGCGGAGCCATTTAACTGCCTCAGCGACCGCTCGTAGTAACGGAGCTGTAGCTCTGAGGGGCGCAGCGGAGGTGCCGGTGCGTGCCCGCCC